CTGGAAAGATGTACTAGGCTTATGTTGAACATTTCCTGTCCCAGACTTGGAATCAACCAGTTCTCTGGGAAGCCCTGGTTTCTTTTAGGGATAAATGATATTTCAAGATCACAATCTGGAATTCATACCAATATTTCCTATTCAAATTCAGGACACTTTTGTTCTAACTAACCTCATCTGTATCTCCTTTCTTCCACATCGAAAATCCTGGTCTCAAAGACAACAGGGTAGAGAGGATTATAGTACCCAATAATTATTCATTTACTTTATCCTACATTATACTCACAACAGTCTCAGAATAACGATACAAATGCTATCACCGTCAATATAATTACTGCGAAAAGGTATCAAAATTTGCATATATTCTCTCCATTCTCCATTTTTTTATAGTTTATACTCTGAGAGTCATATTATATCCATTATATCGGCATATAGCCATTACATGCTATAGTCTCCTTTTTAATATTCATTTAGCCTTAATTCTGCAGTAACTGAATGTTTACTGCTCTCCATCAATCTTTACAGTGATGCTTCTATAATCATCTTCATTGTCTGAAGCTTGTTCTCTAGTAGATTTCTCAGGAAAGGCTCACAGGAATAATATTCTCTGATGCCCTGCATGTTCATAATAGTTCATTTGTGCCCATTATACTTGTAAGTTAGTTTTGCTGGATATAAAAACTTTGGCTACATTTTTGTTTCTTTTCTTGACTGATTTGATTATGTTACTCTACTTTCTTTCAGCAAAAAGTGTGTCTTTCAAAAAGATTGATGGTAATCTTATTTTTTTCTCTTGTAAGTCATTTGCTGTTTTTGCCTAGATGCCCAAAGGATTTTACCTTCTCCTTTAATATCTGGTAGTTTACCAAGAATATGTCTTGGTATTGACCATTCTGGGTTGCCTCATGGTATGTTATTTCAATATATAGTTTTGAATCATGTTTTCACTTTGTGAAGATCTTCCTAAATTATAGTTTAAGTATTTGTCCAGTCCCCTTGCCTTTTTATTCTCCTCTTTCAGGGATTTCTGTTATCTGTATGTTGGATCTTCTTCGCCTATCATCAATATTTGTCACCTTTTTTCAAAGTCTTATTAGCTCTTTCTTCATTTATTTTGATCTTAAATTTCTTCCTCCCTTAAGGCATTTTCTGTTATGTTTTTCTATTCTTGTATTCTTTCCAATTCAACTTTCATTTCCAAAATAGCTTTTTATTTTCAATGCTTTCCTAATACTGCCACCTCATTTCTGAGATTTTTCTATTTCTGATTTAGGTTGTTCATGTCTTACAGTGTGATCTTAATAGCTCTTAGCTTATTTTAAAATAGAAAGTTACAGTTTTTATCTGTTCTGTGGCATGTCTTTCAGGCATGCTTTCACTATCTACAGAATCCTCTCCTTACTCTTTTCTTCTTATAATAACTTTGGAAGATTTGACATCGATAATTTTCTGTTGCTTATTTATGTAAAATTAGTTTTCCTGAACTTTTTACAGGGAAAACATGGTTCAGGGTAAGCTTTTCTAATTTCATATAACTCTTCTTTTGGTTACTTTCATGTCGTGTTCAACAACATGCTGTTCCTTCTTGAGATTTCTCACACACACACACACACACACACACACACACACACACACACATACTTTTACTTAGACCTCCTTTTTCCTTAACCATAACTTTCTGTATCCTGTTCATTTTCAGTCCTCACCCATACTGAATTTCTCTTTGGTATGGAGCCTTGTTCGGGAAGTAAACCCCGGTTAGTTGGTCTCAAGAGCTCACAGGGGCTAGTCCATAGATCTCTTCCACCCATCCATTATTTGAGTGGTCAAAATTCCTGTCAATTTCAGTTGCTTTTCTCACATTGACCTGCCGAACTTTCCAGTGAATTCCTGTTGGAAATTTTGTGGTTCTCCTATTCTCTAGTCTGTCAATGCCCCACTACTTACTTCTGCTTTCTCTTATATTGGATCTGATACTCCACAGGTCTTGTTGATACTGGTGTGGTGTATCCAGCCATTTATATTTTGATAGGGATAACCTGTCACAACTTTATTATAAATATTGTTCATGGCCTTCAGGGTTTGCTACCTAGTTGTTCTGGATGCCCCTATGTGGGGATTCAGAAATAAAAAAGAACTATGCTGCTGCCATTGCCACCTTCCCAGAATCACTCATATGATTTTTTTAATGGACTCCTGTGTCTGACTTTTTTTTTCTTTCATATTATTAGACAGGAAACTAAAACACCAGGTGGTCTGCTTCAGTTTCAACACCTGGCAACACCAATGCTTCCCCAAAGACCAAAGACTCCAGGGGACCTGGCTTCACATCTAAGCTGAAGACACACTGGCTCTGGTAAGGGCAGCCAAAGTCTTAGCACTGCACCCTGAGGGCACTCATCATCCTTCCCTGTGGTCTTCCCAGCCTCAGAAAACTGGCCTGGGGCAGGCTGAGCAACCTCTAGGGCTGAGAATTAGAACCCCAGGCCCAGAGTTCCAGCTAAGAGTCCTGCTGGACAATGCTGTTCTAGGCACAGCCTAACTCGCTGCCTTTCTACATGGGGAACCACTGTAAAGGGAGTTTTTAAACCTCATAATTGCTTTGTTCCCTTCATGAAGCTAAAAACACGACTCAGAAATACACAAGCAAACAAAAACAAATAGAATATAGAGGCTAAGACATCAGCCAGCAAGGTCCATGGGGACTTCTAAAGGAGAGGCACGACAGCTTTGTGCCTAAGAGTACAGACTAGCCCTTCACTGGCCAATATGGTGGCCACAGTCCACATGTGGCTACTAAGCATTTGAAATGTTCTCAGCACTTTAAGTTTAGAATACATATTGAGTTTTACAGATTTTGTTTGATTTAGTTTGAAAAAATAATGCAAAGTATCTCAATAATTTTATGTTGCTTATAGGATAAAATGACAATGTTTTACCTAAGATATGCTATACTAAATAAAGAATATTTTAAAAATAATATCACCTCTTTTTAAAAAAATTTTAACTGCATACATGGCTCAGATTATATTTCTGCTTCTAGAACATCAGAGGCCCTGGTTTAAAAGATTAGACAGAGAGTGCCACTTAACTCTCTGTGTAAAGAGGTGACTGCCCTCCCTATGCATTGGCTTGCTCATCAGTATACTGGGAATAACAAATATACCTAATTTGTGAGGCTATGGTAAAAACTAAGTTAGATTATTGCATGTAAAACACTTAGTATAAGAGCCAGACAAAGCAGGTGTTCAAAAGCAGGAGCTATCCTTGTTATTACTATCCAGCATTAGGTGAATAATCAGGACATGAAGGTTTCAGACCTGGCTCTGCCCACATCTGGCTATATAACCCATGTTAAAAAAATTTCTCTCTTAGACCCTTAGTTTCTTTACTAGAAAACTGGGAGCTGATAATCTGTCTCATCGGGTTGTTCTGAGGACTGAATTCTTTCAGTCACCATGTATTTACTGAGCACCTACTACGAGCTAGGCACTATTCTGGGCAATGGGGAAAGAGCAGTGAACAAGTCAAATAAAGTTTCTGTCCTGAGAGAGTCTGTACTCTAGTGGAGGAGACAGACCATACAAAACACTATCATAGAACGTAATGCTGGGTGGAAATGAGAGATGTGAAGGCAACAGAGCAGGGTCACGGAAGAGAAAGTAATGGAGACATGCTACTTTAGCATCTCTGTAAATTTCCTCTTCAAGGACCAACTTTTGAACAGAGACTGGAGACGTGGGAAAGAGTCATCAGGGCTGAAGGAAGAATGAGCACAGGGTGCTGTGGCAGGGGGACATCAAGTGGTCTGGGGAGCAAAGAATCAGCCAACGTGTAGCTGAAAAGCAAGGAGATGGAGCAGGAGAGGAGGCCTGGCCAGACCACAGGGGACACAGGAATACATACTCATTCTGGTATGAGGGAGCCCCTGGAGAGTTTTACACAGGTTTTCAGACCCCTCAGACACACTGAGGGAGGTGATGCATGTGCCAGGCTCAGAATGGTCTGGCCCAAAGTAAATGTGGGAGCCGGTGATGGTAGAGCCAGGGATGGGGCCCACCTAGCTCCCCAGCATCCTGGAGGGCACGAAACCTATTAAAGCAAGGGGACTGGGAAGAAGTGGGCATGGCGGGAAACACTTCCCTGTTTCTGCAGAGAAACACAGCCCTACGACAGCGCTTGCAATCAGGCTCGAGGTCGCCCGACAGAACCAGCATCCTCCCCCTACCCTCAAAGTGTAAAAGGAAGAAACTAGCTCATGGCAAAGTGAGGAGCCAAGTCTGCTTCTCCACCAGAAAGAACCACAGAGTGAGACCAGCAGCAACACACCGGTTGAAACAAAAACAATTTTTTTTAAATGTGTAATTACAAAATTCATTCAAGGGGGTGTGGGTATAGCTCAGTGGTAGAGTGCATGCTTAGCATGCATGGGGTCTTGAGTTCAGTCCCCAGTACCTCCATTAAAAAAAAATTTAAAAACAAAACAAAATTCATTCAAATAATATTGTCTATCATCATACAAAACAGTCATTGTAAAAATATAAAAATGATGAAATAAACAAAAAGAAGAAAAATTAAATTCCAATTACCTAGAATCCTATAACCAGAAACTACAGTAAGTAGTATGTTGGGCTACATAGATATCCAGACATTTATGAATATGCAAACAGAAAATCTAGCCCTTTTCTTATGTAAATATAAACAGTGTGTGTTGTACATGCTTTTTAAAAATGGCATTATTCTCTGTAACTTGCGTTGTAACCTGTTCCTTTCACGTATTATTCACACATACTGTGTACGCCTTCCCAGGTGGTTAAATTTCCAGATAGACAGCATCCTTTTTTAATGCAACATGGTACTTCACAGAGACTATTTTATTCAGCAACCCCCTGTTGTTGGGTATATGGGTTGTGTCCAATCTGAGCAAACAACCCTGAGCAGTGACCCCCTCCAGCATCCCACTGCGGTGCCCGGCCACCCCCATCAGGTCTGTTACTTACAGCAAACTCCTCGGGAGTCACTTTCAGGACATCGAAGACAACGGCATCGTAGCTCTTGCTGGCATAGTCGCAGCTCTGGCCCTCCAGAGAGTCTGAGCTGCTGCTGCCCTGCGGAGAACAGGGAGAGATGGGGCCTCCTGAGCAGTCTGGCCGACTCAGAATCCCCGACTCCCAAGCTCAGAACCGAGGACGCTGACAGAACCGTACAACGAATGGTAAAAGCTTCTGTTGACTAGTGCTTTCCTCTGTTCCAGGCACTGCATTCAGCACTTCACACTCATAATCTTACTTAACTCTCATAACAACTCACTGCGTACACACTCTTATTATACCCCTTCTCCAGATAAGGAAGTAGAGGCCATGCTACTTCCCCAGGGCACCTCAGCTGGGAAACGGAAAAGCCAGAATGTGAACTTAGTTTTGTATCTATCTTACCCCAGAACCTCAGTCACCGCACCCCAGCTGCTTCCAGCTGGCTGCACGGAGGTGCAATGAAAAGATATGGCCCCCAATCTTTCTTCAGAGAGAACCGGTCTTCACATCTTAGTAAGCCTGAAGAGATCATCTGTTTTGTTATGTCTTTCAAACATTACCTGGTTTCACCTCTTATTTTTTCTACTTGAAGTCATGGCAGGAAATTATTATACAAAATGTTAAACTGGCTCTCAAGGCTTATTTCATGTAAGGGCCACTTAAAATTCAAAACCTGTTAGCTGATGAGGTGAGAGGTAACTGACTGGCTTTGGAGACGGTGTGAAAGTTATATTTAGTTGAGCCCCTTGTTAAGAACAACACCGTGAGCCCTGCATGTACAGGAAGGGTCTCCTGTAAAAGAACAAGCTAAAACTCCCCGAATGTGGCCGGCTTCATGAAACCCAACACTGTGGGGATCCCAGAATGTTGAACATACCTTCTCTTCAATTTTATTTAATTTCATCAAATTCTACTTTGGGGAACCAATTGAGCTTACCACCCAAAACCTGTGCCCTGTTCATAAATGGTTTTATTCGTCTCAACCCATGAAGAGGGATTTTGTGGTTTCCATTAACCTCAACATCTTGGACTGGGATTTAGAGAATATGCTTTTATTAATTCCTCTTTATTTCACTCTTTCCAAAACGGCTATATCTGGAAAAACTTTGCAATCTTACTGGAAACTGGAGTGTGTTTAGGCCAGGGAGGGAAACCAACAGTCAACAACTGAAAATGTGAGGTTAAAAGGAAGGCGGAAACTTAAACCTGTAGATTTCAATAGGCCTGTGTCATTTAAAGGCTTTACAAATGAATCTACTGTACCAAAAACTCTAAGATGATCTTAAGAAGCTCTGAAGTCAGCCAGGCCGGGTTAGAATGCCAGCTCCACGCCTGCTGCTGTCTGACCTCTTCATTTCGCTGGGTCTCAGCTCCAGCTATAAAATGGCGCTATTAGAACCTGCTCCCCAGGGCTAGGGCACAGCTTATATAAAATGAAGCTCACAACACAACTGTGGCAGGATCCCCTCCCTGGGAGATGCTGATTCAAGGCACCTGGGTGGGCTCAGGCATGACTATTTTAAAAGTTCCATGGGCAATGGGACATTCTCCCCTGAGGAGAATCCGTGTTAAACTCTCAAAAAGTAACAAAGGCTAACCCTGAGTGCCTCTGGAATTGGCCGTCTGTTCTACCCCTCAGTCGTGCACACAGACCCTGAGCAGATGGTTTCCGAAAAAATCACTCTGCACGTCCACGTTCCTCTTCCACGGAGCAGCCAGGACCAGGTGACAGGGCTGACTTTCTTCCAGGGAGCACAGTGTCATCATGGTTGGACCACCGGCTCCAGAGCCCCAGAGGCCTGGCTGCGAATCCCTACCCACCGCTGACCAGCTGTGTACTGAAGCCAGTTCATCCACTGCCCCCTGCCTTAGTTTCCTCATCTATAAACTGGGGATGGAATGATGTACATGCTCGACAGGGTTACGGTGAGAATTCAGTGAGATCACGCCTGTAGAATGTACCAAAAAAGTGCCCGGTATACAGTCAGCACTAAGTCATGGGTGTGTATCTGTGTAAACATGTCATTCAGTCACCAAAATTTACTGAGCACTTCAACTAGACAGGTATTCATTCATCTGTTCATTCAGCAAATATTTATTGAGTACTCGCCGTGTTCTGGAGACACATACACGTGTATTTGTATACATACACATCTGGACATACATACAGCATACCCGTATGTGTATGCACACACACGTGTATATACAATATTCATAGAGAGAGACCAGAAAAGAAAGTTCTGCTCTAGATGGAGTGTAAATTATACATGGAAATAGAAGTCTGACTCCTCTAGTTACCAGAGTCCATTCTTGGAATTTCAGGTTTTATAACTTTCCTGTAACACCCCATTGCACCTGCCCCAAACACACACTCATACAAGGGGCCTTATTTAATCAAAAGTTGCCCCAAATACATGCAGTGGTGGTGGTGGTGGCAGTGGTGATGATGCAGTGACTTTATTTAAACCTGTATTGGCGCCATCAGGGAATTTTAAAGGTACCCACAAGTCTGCTTTCAGAACCAGAGATCAAACTAAGGAATTTTTTAAAAGAGTTTCAAGCAATGAATTGGTTCCTGTGAATTCGAGCTGACTGCCCAGGGTCATTTCAAAAGCCCAGCTCAACCGTGAGGGCCTCGTGAGCTCGGAACACTGAGCACTCCCCTTGCCAGTCTGTCACAGGAGCCAAGCGCTACGCATCTGACATGATGGTTTCTCTGGGCCTCGGGTGACACCCACCCCTCCTGCCTGCCTCTGCTCCATTACAGAACCTGGAAAGCAAACTCCCAAACCCCCAGGGCAGGAGCCTGAGCCCAGGCCACTCTCCGACCACCAGTCCTTATAGCCATTTCCTACTGGGCAAGGTAAACAGGAGCACGGGGCCAGCTGGCATCACTTCTGTCTGACTTCATTCCGGAACGTGTGACTTATTTATAATCGGCTGCGGCTTCTCTTGGGAAAGGCCTGATCCCTTCGTGCCACCAGGATGGAATGTGGCACTTGGTACGACTGGACTGGGCAGGTATTTGCTTTTCTTTGAAGAGGAAGACTTCAGAAAACACGCTGATCCTCAGGGCTGACTGCCTCCCAGATCTCACGCCTGCCGTGGCCGGGGCCTCGGGAGGGTTAAGAATGGTGGTATTCATGGAGCCCTGCAGGCCCGTGGGCCACGACCCAGCGGGGCCTGGGGCAGCTAGAGGAGCCCTGCCCCACCCCGCAGCCCAGTCCTGCAGTCTCTGTACCTGTGGAGTGGCAGAGGTGACCAACACGCTAGCCATCAGACCATTCCTCTTGTACATAGTCTCCGGGCCACAGGGAGCTTCAGGGCAGCCTCTGTCGGTGACATAACCTGTCTGGAGAAGTCCTGCAAGGCAAAGGAGCTCATAAACACCAGCCTTCAAAACCAACTTAGTCCCACCCTGGGAGAGAGTCGTGCGAGACTCAAGCAGGTGACCCCAGAGAAGACCTTCAAAGAAAAGTTACAAGCTGGTGGCCTTCAGGCTAAATATGGCTCACAGATGTAGTCTGTTGGGCTCAAACAGGATTCGGTATGTTTTAAACTAATCACCAGCATTTAAAAACTGGGAGGTTTCATACAGAATTCTGGATTTCTGACTCTCCTGGCAGGACTGGGCCCCCCTCTTGCATGATGACCATCAGCTGCGCTGAGCAGTGGCTGCGCCTTGTACTGGAGCAAGCGCCTTCAGACCCCGCAGCTGCTTGGGTCCATGCCTGGCCCTTGCAGGTGCTAGAGTTTGTGATCTTGTGATCTTTTTTTAAAATGAGGCAGGTGAAGAAAACAAACTGACCCTACAGTGCTTCCCTGTGCCCAGACCGTTTCCTCAATAATAACAGGGATACCAGCTAAGACTCCCAGAGTTCCCGCCACATGCCATGCACCCTACACACACGAACTCATCTAACCCTCGCAACAGTCCTCGGGCAGGTTCCAACATTACACTCATGCTTCACATGGGAAATCTGAGGCACAGAGAGTTAGGTAACTCTCGTGCCATCCCACCAAACCATCATCACTCAAGACCCTGCTCAAATGTCATTTCCCCTGGTTATTGCACCTGGACCAAACTAGAACCAGTTGCTCTCATGCCAATGTGTACATACCCCTAGTAGGGCATTTACCACATTACTGGACATCAGAGCACTGTAGCCACCACCAGCTTTTCATCAGGAAAGCAATCAGGATGAAATGGGGGAAGGAAAGGAGATGACAGAGGTACCATCTGGAAGCCAACTACAACTGTCAGGCAAGAGACGAGGGTCCTCTGAGCTAAGGTGGCAGCAGTGAGATCACAGAGAAGGATACAGACTGAGAGATGCTAAGGACAGAAACTCAACAGGAACTGATGGGGTGAGGGGTTGAGGAGGAAGCAGCCGACGATGAATGGCTTCTGGCTTTAGGTACCAGAGGATGCCACGCCCTTCATCAAGAAAAGAAGCAGAGGTAGTGTGGCAGATTCGTAGGAAAGACGATGATTTTGACTTAGAACGTGCTGAATCTGTGGTGCCCATAAGAAAATCAATCCTGGAAAGCGAGGTCCAACCCAAAGGTCTCTGGGAAGATGGCCTAGAGGCAGATCGAAAGGAAGAAAGTGTCAGGCTGATCTGGACTCTGTCTGTAATCCTGCCGGAGCCCCCAGCCACAGGCCCATCACAGAGCAGTGTGCCGTGGAACAAGTCAAAGACCCAAAAAGGAAGGTCAAAACAACCAGGCTCTGTCCCTGCCCGTCTCCAAAACTGCTCCCAGTATCTTCCTCCTCAACCATCTCCCCTGAAAGAGCCACTGACCCTCTGACCTTCCTCCCAAAAACACTGAGAAGAACTAATCTGATCTACAAACTACATTTGGGGGTCAACTGGAAAAGATGAACATGGATATTAAATGATACTGAATTACTATTAATTTTCTTCGGGGTGATATCAGTGTGGAGGTTAAGCAGAAAAAGGTCCTTATCCTTAAGATGCACGTGACTTTTTAGAGGCAAAGTGAGTTTGCCACATTCTTTCAAATGTGTCTGTAAAATACACAGAAGTAGAGATAAAGCACATACGGCTAAATGTTAACAATTGACATTCATTGACAGGAGTTCATTGTACTAGTCTCTCAACTTTTCTCAATACTTGATAATGAGAAAGAAAGAAAAGGAAGGAAGGAAGGAA